GAGGAATCACAGGTACCACCCAGGGCAATGTTCTTTCTGTTGTCTGCACAGCGGAGTTACCCAAACCCAACATCACAAGCAACAACTCCGACCCTGTGGAGAATGTGGATTCTGTGCTATTAACCTGTGAACCTCAGACTCAGAACACGAGCTACCTGTGGTCAGTAAGCAGTAAGAGCCGCCTGGCCAGCACCAGGCTGGAGCTGTCCCTGGACAACAGGACTCTCACTATACATGGTGTCACAAGGGATGACACAGGACCCTATGTGTGTGCAACTCGGAACCCAGTGAGTGACGGTCGTAGTGACCCATTCACCCTGAATGTTCTCTGTGAGTAGCTTCCGTTCCTCCCAAACCTGGGCTGCCAACCCAAATCCACACAGCCAGGGGCCAGGCCACATCCATCCTTTTGGGGTCCGAGTCCATGACTCTCAGCTGGACCCCCAAGCTGGCCACAGCAGCTTGTCCCAGGGAAACCTGGGCAGGCCTGGCCAAGACTAGGAGGGGACAGGCTGCTCCTCCCTGAGAGGGTCACCAGCCTGTGAGGGGAAACAGGTGAATGTCTCAGACCCAGGCTGAACACAGGGGGTTTCTGGTTGGGACTTTATAAAATGAGGTTGGGACCCAGCTCAGAGGGACACTGTGGCCCTTGTACAGACCAGGAGCTTCCCTTTCCCTTGGATTGCATCAACTGTGGCTTTATTCTGTTTGCTCCAGATGGCCCGGATGCCCCCACCATTTCCCCCTCAGACTCCTATTACCATCCAGGGGCCAACCTCAGTCTCTCCTGCCACGCAGCCTCTAACCCACCTGCACAGTATTCTTGGCTTATCAATGGGAGGCCCCAGCCATACACACAGGAGCTCTTTATCCCCAACATCACTGCGAATGATAGTGGATCCTATACCTGCCTTGCCTCTAACTCTGGCACTCGCCTCAATAAGACCACAGTCAAGACTGTCACAGTCTCTGGTAAGTGGGTCCCTGGAGCATCTGCATGGATCGCTGTGGTGAAGGTCTGTATAGCTTCCAGAAAATAGCCTAGAAGTTATTTCCCATTTGCTTATGTTACAAGCAAATACCGAGTCTGTCCCTGAACTCTCCCTTTACATGTCTGCAGATGCTTCCTCCCCTTGCTCTCTGATTTCTCAAGGCAGACCTTGGGTCCGGCCTGGAATGTGGGGAGGGGCATCTCAGTTCCAGAAAGCCCCATGCACAAAATGGGGCTTCGCAAATGGAGAAGAAGAATGATCCTCTAGTCAAGTTGTTTTTTGTTGTTGAATTGCAGAAGTCCTTTCTGTAATCCGGATATTAACCTCTTACAGATATGGTTTGCAAATGTTTCCTTCTAATCCATGGGTTGCCCTCACATTTTCTTTGTTAGTGACCTTTATTTGACACACGATGTGACATAGTTTCCGGTGTACAACATAATGATTGGACAACTCTGTATGTTATATTCATTCAATACAATGTAGCTCCCATCTGTCCCCATGCAACCTGATCAAAATACCATTGACTATATTTCCTATGCTGTACGTTTCATCCCTATATCCTATTCATTCCATAACTAGTACTACCACTCTCCAGATTCTGTCTTTTGATGCACTGAAGTTTTCCATTTTGATGTAATCCAATTCATCTGCTTTTTCCTTTTATTGTCTTTGCTTTGGGTATCATATCTAAAAAATCATTGGGAAATTCAGCTTCAGTAAGTTTTTGCATTACGTTTGTTTTTAGAGTTTTACTATTTGACTCTTAAATGTTTATTTTTTTTAAGATTTTATTTATTTATTTGACAGAGAGACAGCGAGAGAGGGAACAGAACAGGGGGAATGGGACAGGGAGAAACAGGCTTCCCGCCAAGCAGGATCCCAGGACTCTGGGATCATGGCCTGAGCCAAAGGCAGACACTTAATGACTGAGCCACCCAGGTGCCCTGACTCTTATGTTTGGATGTTTGACATGTTTACGTTAATATTTGTACATAATGTAAGATCTGGTCCAACTTCATTCATTTGCATGGATATCCAGCATTCCCAACAGTTGAATAGATATTTTTCTCCATTGAATGATCATGATAACCTTCTTGAAAATCATTCAACCACATATGCTAGGGTTTGTTTGGGGTGCCTATTCCATTTCATTGGTCTCTATGTCTATCTTTATACCAGATCCCCATTGTTATCAGTTACTGTACCTTTTCAGTCAAGAAGTAGGAGTCCTCCAACTTTGTTCTTTTTTAAAATAAGTTTGGGTGTTTGAGGCCCCTGAATTTCTGCATGAATTTTTGGAAATTCCTATTTCTGCAAAGTATTTCCTTAAGTATTTGGTAGGGAGGTAACCTGGCTGGCTCAGCTGGTGGAGCATGCGACTCCTGATCTTGGGATTGTAGGTTTGAGTGCCACATTGGGTGTAGCGATCACTTAAAAATGAAATCTTAAAAAAAGGAGCTTGGTAGGAATTACATTGAATCTGTGGATCTCTTTGGGTAACATTGTCATCTTAACAAGATTAACTTTCATCATCCACGAACATGGGATGTCTTTCCATTTATTTGTGTCCTCTGTAATTTCTTTCAGTAATGTTTTATAGATTTCCATATACAGTCTATTGACTAAGTTAATTTCTAAGTATTTGATTCTTTTTTTCCTAAGTATTTTATTCCTTTTAGTGTTATTGCAAATAGAATGGTTTTCCTAATTTCTTTTTTGGGTTTTTCATCGTTAGTTAGCAACACAGTAATTTTTGTATGTTGATTTTTTATCCCACAAATTTGTTGTAATTGTTTATTAGTTCAACAGTGTTTTTGTGGAATCTTTATGGGTGTGTATATAAAACTTAATGTCATCTGCAAACAGACATAGTTGTACTTAGTTTTTTCCCAATTTGATTGCACTGTGGTTTTTTTCCCTCCTAATTATTTTTTTAAAGATTTTATTTATTTATTTGACAGAGATGACAAGTAGGGAGAGAGGTAGGCAGGGAGAGAGGAGGAAGCAGGCTCCCCACTGAGCAGAGAGCCTGGTGTGGGGCTCGATCCCAGGACCCTGGGATCATGACCTGAGCCAAAGGCAGAGGCTTTAACCCACTGGGCCACCCAGGTGCCCCTCCTAATTATTTTTGCCTGGACTTCTGTACTGTGTCAAATACAGGCAGTGAAAGTGTCATGTTTATCTCCTACCTGATCTTAGAGTAAAGGCTTCCATGTTTCATCATGGAGGATGATACTGGCTGTGTGTGTTTCATATAAGGCCTTTTTTATGAGGCAGTAGTTTCCTTATATTGTAAGGGTGCCAATATGCTGTATACAGTAACCACTCTGCAGAAGTGTTTCACCATGAGAGTCAAGCCACAGATCTGTAAGTAAAAGTCTTCTTCAGAGTGAAAAATCTTATAGATTGAAAACTCTTTGATTCCTAAGTAAATGAAGATGGGGCAGGAGGTTCTCATTTCCTAGTAAATTATAACAGTGTAAATGCCTTCCCTACCTTACATGAAGCTGCTTTGGACACAGAGATAGAAGGACTGTGAATCTTCTTCCTCCAATATATATGGAAAGGAATATAAGGAGTGAGGCCCTATCTATTGTACTGTGTCACAAAAGTTCAAGAAAATCACACAGAAGTCCATGGGAAAAAATTCCTCATGATGATGAGATTGCTGGCCACATGGGCTAAGAGGTTCCTTGTTGATGATACTACAGTGATGTCTAGGCAGAGCAGACACATGACGGAGGGTTAGAGGGGAAGGTATAGCCCTCTCCTTACAGATTGTCTGTGAACAAAAACACTCATCCTTCTGCACAGCAGGGCCATACGCTGGGGCACCTTCACAGAGCTCATGGGGGCCCTCAGAGTGGCAGAGATCTCAAAGGAAGGAGCATAACCCGGGCCCCAGGCCCATTCTCATTCAGTCACTTCCTGTGTTTCCCTACAGAGGCAGTGTCCAAGCCCTCTCTCCATGCCAGCAAAACCACAGTCACAGAAGACAAGGACTCTGTGGTCCTGACCTGCTCCACAACTAACACTGGGATCTCCATTCACTGGTTCTTCAATGGCCAGAGTCTAAAGCTCACAGAGAGGATGACACTGTCCCAGGACAACAGCACCCTCACCATATGCCCTGTCAAGAAGGAGGATGCCGGGAAATACCAGTGTGAGGTCTCCAACCCGGTCATTTCCAGGAAAAGTGACCCTGTGTGGCTGGATGTGAGCTGTGAGTGACCCTCGAACTCTCCCCTTCCTCCATGTATATTTCATGGCAGGCAGTGTGAAATGAGTGGAGGCCTGCAGGAAGTGGGGAGCCTCCTTCGGAGCCTCTAGGGCAATATGGATAAAATTCCCCCAAATTAGATGAATCTTGTTAGCATCTTGGTTCTGATTTGTACCAGTTGTTGAAACTCGGGCAAAATATTCAACCTCCTTAACCTCATTTTCCTCTTCTCTAAAACTGGAAAGAACAGCTGGATTTCAGGGAAGTTGTGAGAGTAGTTAGTATGAGTTCATGAGATGAAATCCTGAGACAGAGTCACACTCGGATTTGGGGCTCAGTCAAATTTAGCAACTATTGTCCTTTGGTTATTAACATTTTTGTTGCCAGCTGTAATGTTTTGAGGAATTGGGATTGAGTGTTGTCTGATCACATTCCAGCTCTCTGACCTTCACTGATTTACTGAGCCCTGTACACACTGAGTTGCTCATTGTGCACAGTGGGTGTGACACCTGGCCCCTCATGGGCAGGGAAGCAGCAGATGAGTCAACATAAATATTTCCCACGTGCCTGGCACAGAGAAGACCTCAAAAGCAGTCAGTTGGTGTTATTATCTTTAATCAGTGTTGAGTGAACAGGTAAGGGCCTCCTTCTAAGACCATCAGTGAGGATGGAACAGAAGACACGGGGAAGAGGCATAATGTGAAAGGAAAATAAACAGGATGCCAGCCTTGGCCCTTGGGGGTGGGAGGAAAATGTGAAAATTGAAGCAAGTCCAGAGTTTCACTGTGAGGAACAGAAATGATGCCACAGCCAAGGGGATGGGGACACTGTGGTGACAACACACATGCCACCCAGACCTCAATGGCCTTTTCTTCCTCCCGAAGCATGCCCTTCCCACACGGCCACTCCTGGTTTCCCCATATTTGACTTTGGACTCATACCCCTCCCTTTTTCTTTTTATTTCAGATGGAAGAAGCACCACAGGCCTCCCTGTGGGGTCCATCATTGTCATTGCGATCGGGGTCCTGGTCGGACTGGCACTCTAGTTCCCTCCTGGAGTGTCTCCTGCTCCACACAGTTTTCTCAGAGTTCCACAGAATTTTCAAGACAGATCATCTCAAAATCATACAAATTCGTCCATAGAATAGAGAGGGAATATTGCTCCAACTCATTCCGAGGTTAGTAGAACCTTTAAATTGAAATAGGAACAATAAAAGTACAAAAAGATGAAAGTATCATACTCATGAACAGAGAAGCAAAAATACTAAACAAGGTATTCTCAAACCAAATCCAACAGTATATAGAATAAGACAGTACACCGTGACTAAATTCCAATCGTCCCAGCAAAGCAATGGTGATTCAACATTAGAAATTTATAAATGGGGGGCACCTGGGGTGACTCAGTGGGTTAGGCAGCTGGCCCTTGATTGTGGCTCAGGTCATGATCTCAGGGTCCTGGGACTGATCCCCATGTGGGCCCTGTGCTCTGCAGAGAGTCTGCTTGAGGATTTCTCTCCCTCTCCCACTGCCCCTCGCCTCTCTCAAATAAATAAATAAATAAATAAATAAATCTTTAACAAAAAGACATTTATAAATGGAAGAGAGCAACAACTTCACTTGATCTTAGCCAAAAGGCCGAGAAGCGATGAGAGCAACAACTTCTAGGGTGCCAGCAATGTTCTATTTCCTGATCTAGCTGCTAGATACATAGGTGTGTTCAATTTTTGAAGATTCAGTAAGCAAAACTGTTCATACTGTAACAGTCCTCTTACCCCCTCAGTTTTTTCCATGATACAGACTCTGCGGAAACCACCAGAGCAGACCTGTTTTCTTATAGAACACCCACATTCTGACTTTGTTTCCTTATGGTGTCATTTCAGTTACTTCTCCAAGCCCTGTATTTCCTACAAATTGGAAAATGAATCTCAAAGCTTAAATAGATTTCAGGTTATATTTCTTGAGGGAAGAATCCTTCCTGCATTTTATATGCATCATATCAAGAGGAACATTCTAGTTAGTTGGGACACCTGGGTGGCTCAGTCGGTTGGCAGCCTGCTTACTGGTTTCTGTTAGGTCTTGATCTCAGGGTCAAGGGATTGAGCCCCTCGAAGGGCACCGTGCTTAAGGGGGAATCTGCTGGAGATCCTCTCCCTGTGCCCCTCCCCTCTTCCCTTGCTCTCAAAAAAATAAATCTTTAAAATTTAAAAAATAAGGGCACCCGGGTGGCTCAGTGGGTTAAGCCTCCGCCTTCACCTCAGGTCATGATCCCAGAGTCCTGGGATCCAGCCTCCTCTCCAGCTCTGCAGGGAGTCTGCTTCTCCCTCTGCCTCTCCCCCTGCTCCTCCTCCCTCTCCCTTTCTCTCTCAAATCAACCTTAAAATCCTTAAAAATAGAATAAATTCCAGTTAGTTGACATACAGTGTACTGTTAGTTTTAGGTGTACATTATACCGATTGAACATTCCAGACAACACCTGGTGCCTTCCCTAATCCTCATCTCCTCTTTGACTCATTTCCCACCCACCTCCCCTCTGGAAACCATTAGCTTGTTCTCGGTATTTAAGAGTCTGTCTCTTGGTTTGCCTCTCTCTTTCTCTCTCCTTTTCCCCTATTATAACTTGCTTTGTTTCTTAAATTCCACATGACTGAAATCATATGGTATTTCTCTGATGTATTTCTGACTGATGTATTTCCAGTAGCATAATACACGGCAGCTCCACCCACATTGTTGCAAATGAAAAGATTTCATTCTTTTTTTGGCTGAGAAGTATTCCATTGCATATATGCACCACACCCTCTTTATCCATTCATCAACTGATGGACATTTGGGCTGTTTCCATAGCGTGGCTATTGTAAGTAATGCTGCTATAAGCATCGGGCATGGGTATCCTTTCGAATTAGTATTTCTGTTTCCTTTGGGTAAACACCTAGGAGAGCACTTGCTGAATCACTGGGTAATTCTATTTTTAAATTTTGAGGAAGCTTTCGACTGTGTCCCAGACGGGCTGCACCAGTTTACATTCTCACCAACATGCAGGAGTGCTCCCCTTCCTAATCAGTGGGCATCTTTTGTGCAAAGACAGATGTGTATACAGAAATTACAAGATTAGAAAGCCATCTACCGTGCTGCTCCCCAACAGAATGAAAGCTGTTTATGGCAAGCCCACAGCCAACATCATATTCAGTGAGGAAAGGCTGAAAGCTTCTCTATTAGAATCAGAAACAGGACAAGGGTGCCCATCCTCACAACTTCTATTTAGCAGAATTCTGAGACTCTTAGCCAAAGAAATTAGACAAGAAAAAGAAATAAAAGGCATTCATGCCAGAAAAAATGAAGTAAAATTCTCTTTGTGTGTAGACAACATGATCTTATATGGAGAAAACTCCAAAAGCTCCATGAAAAAACATTCCGAACTAATATACAAATTAAAGAAAGCTGCAAGATGCAAAATCAATCTACAGAAATCAGGGCATTTCTATACACCAACAAAGAGCCTGTGGGGAACTGCCAAGAAATATAAAAAATATTCCCATTTCCAATGGTGTCAGAAACGATTAAATGCTTTGCTCTGCCCTGGCCGTGAGGGGTGGAACCAAGCCCCTGGGGAGGCAAGGAATAGACCAGTCTGTAGTGCCAGAGGGAGGGAGCTCTGATCTGTGGGCCCCAGAGACACCACCAGGGAGGCATCCCTCAACCCCCACAGATTATGGGTCAGGGAATAAGCAGAATACACACAACTAGAGGAGAAGCAAAGACAAAGAAACCAGGGCTTCAGTGTCTACTCGTGGGAAGCAAGACAAGGGTCCCCATTTGCCACCACCAAGAAAGCAGAGTAGGTTGTTTTGGATCACTGCCCAAAGATGCACTTGCTGGTATCTTGGCATTTGGCTTTGGAAAGGCTTCATACGTAGGAGAATGGCAGAGGAAATTCCATTCCTTGGACGATCTGCTCTTTTTGGGTCCAGGGAATCGCAGCAACTGCTGCTTATGTGTCAACAAGGCAAAATAAAGGATGCATTACATGAAAGGGACATTCACAGCCTTCACCTTCCTACACTCTGCATCTGTGGCTTTTGAAGTTTCTTACATCTCTGAATTTATACACATTTAAAATTTTGTGTGTACTTTAAAATAATATACTTAGAGTGGAGAGAAACACTGTGATAACCTCACTCTATGGGGATGGTTTCTGCGGGAGAGTCTCAATGCAATTAACAGTAGATGTTTTCCTGCTGTTTAAGAACCTACTGAGAGCTCTCCATGTGGAAAAGAAGTTATGTTGCAAGTAAGTTGTTTATAACTAAGTAAAAGAATTCAGTCTTTTCTTTAAAAAAATTTAAAAAAGAAAGGTAAGATAATTTGGACTAAATATCACCAAAGAGGGGAAAGATCTTTAGACTGGAGACCATGAGACATTGATGGAAGAAATTGAGCGCAGGTGAATAAATGAAATGATAGCACCTGTCCATGGGTTGGAAGAATTAATACTGTTAAAATAGCCATACTGCTCCTCATGATCTCCAAATGCAATGCAAACCCCATCAAAATTCCAACAGCATTTTTCAGAGAAAGAGGAAAAGCAATTCTAAAATTTGGATGGTTCCATAAAATATGTCAAATAGCCAAAGAAATCTTGGGCAGGAAGAACGAAGCTGGAGGCATCACCCTTCTGATTGCAAATTATATGACAAAACGGCAGTCATGAAAGCAATATGGCATTGTGACGTACTCCACCAGGTTTAAGGGTTCACTTGCTCCAATCATCTGTACCCCTTGCTTGCTGACCTAAGTCCCATGATCTGTAGCAAAACTAAGCTGCTTTCCTTGGGATTTGCAGACCACTGGCCTTAAGGAGTGATGGACCAAGCTTTCCCAGGAGATAAGACCTGCCAATATTGGAAAACAGCTGCCCTGGGTGCCGGCAAGTCTTTTGAGTGTCATGTCCACATACTACCAGCTGCCTGCGCACCTGCTTCTCCTGCATGCAACCGCCCTCCTTTTTCTCATGTTTTCCCCTTTAAACCACCCTCCAATCCCAAGCCCCCTGGATGGGGAGCATGATCTTTGAAACATTAGTCCTCCATCTTCCCAGGATGCTGGCTTCCTGTATAAAGCAACCTTCCTCATCTACCATCACTTGTCCCTCATGTGTTGATTTTCGAGATGTGAGCAGCCAAATGTGAGTTTGCAGCCAGTCTCAGGTACCACCAGTATGGCCAGAAAGACAGAACAATGGAACAAAACACAGAGCCCTCAACAAATTCCTGTGTATACGGTCATCAGACCTTTGACAAGGGTGTCAAGAATACACAGTGTGAAAGGATAGTCTCTTCAGCAAATGATGTTGGGAAAAGTGGGTATCCACGTGGCTGAAGAACGAAATTACATATTTAATTTACACATACACAAAAATCCACTCACAATGAGTGAACGACTTAAATATAAGACCCCAAACCGTAAAAGTCATGAAAGAAGACATGGGGAAACCCTTGATGACATTGGTCTTGGCCATGACTTCATGCATATGATACCAAAAGCACAGGCAACAGAAAGGAAAATCAACAGGTGGGACCATATTAAATGAAGAAGTGTCTACTCATCAAAGGAAACCATCAACAAAATGCAAAGGCCACCTACCAACTGGGAGAGAATATTTTCAAACCATGTTATCACATAAGGGGTTAATATCCAACATATGTAAGGATCTCCTACAACCAGATAGTAAAAAGCGACAAACAAATAACCTTTCTCCAATGGCAACAGATATATGAAAAAAGGGAAATGCAAATCTAAAACACATTATTATGACACACATGTTGCACATGTTGCAATGGCTATTATTGAGGGGGAAAAAAGTGTTGGTGAGGATGTTGAGAAATTGGAACCCTTGTACCCCAATGATGAGAATGCGAACGGCCGCGGCCATTCTGAGAACAGTATGGAGGGTCGTCAAAAAATTAAACACACAGCTACACTAAGACCCAGCTTATTTGTCCAGAAGAACTGAAATCAAGATCTCGAGGAGATAGGCACGCCTGTGTTCACTGCAACACTGTTCACAGCAGCCGAGGTATGGAAACAACCCAAATGTCCATCGACAGACGAGTGGTTGAGGAAAGTGCAGCACACGCGTACAGTGGAACACTATTTAGAGGATAGATCTCCTATGAACGGTTAATAAAGTAAAAGAATGATAAAAGAAAATGAAAAATGTTTTCGCAGTTGAAAGCAAACTGAACACCACACCGAGATACCACTTCACAATCAGCGGACTGGCTAAAATGGTAATAGGACTTTCCAAACTAAGTGTGGAGGATGGGGGGCAACTGGAACTCTCCCACATTGCTAGGAGAAAATATACTTGCAGCTACTTTGGAAAACTGTAGCGTGTTCTTCCAGGCATTAAAGGTGTGCCTCCTCAGCGATCCCGTCACTGCACTCGTGGGTGGGACTCTACCCCAGAGAAATGAAAGCTCCAGCTGCTTCAAAGACTTGTGCACAAAAGTTGCTGGTGGGTGTGCTTGTAATAGCCCAGAGTTGGAAACCATAAATGAGGGAATAAATTAAAAAACACCTTTCTGAATCCTTCCAATGTAAGGATAAAAAAGAAAAGGGATACAAAAGGGATAAACTAAAGGATAGAAAAAAAAATGAGGATACTTACAATAAAATGCAGCTGTGGGTTATTTTAAAAACCACGAAGAGTAAAAAAGTTGGCCCCGGCCCAAATCATAGTGTACGGTTCAAATTTTCACAAAATTCTAAAAAATGCACACTAATCGATAACAGCAAAAGCAAACGTAAGGGGGGCGCCTGGGTGGCTCAGTGGGTTAAGCCTCTGCCTTCGGCTCAGGTCATGGTCTCAGGGTCCTGGGATCAAGCCCCGCATCGGGCTCTCTGCTCAGCAGGGAGCCTGCTTCCCTTCCTCTCTCTCTCTGCCTGCCTCTCTGCTTACTTGTGATCTCTGTCTGTCAAACAAATAAATAAAATCTTAAAAAAAAAAAAAGCAAATGTAAGGTTACATGGGAACATGGGGAAGGAGCGTCAGAGGGGGCGGAATGAAGAATAAAGAGGACATGAGGAGGTTTTTGAGAGGAAGGGAGATACTCAGAATCTTCATGTAGGAAAGACTTCTCTGCGTGCCTGTAGAAAAATGTATTCAATTCTACACCTTCAATATGTTGAACTTCCTATATGTCAACTATAATTCAATAAAGTGTTTAAAAGTTCTATATCCATATATAAAATGTTACTTAATGTATAAATACATAAATTAATTGGATAGCAGGACTTTTTCTTCTGCATTTCTGGCACAGGCCATCAGAGGGCGGTAGAGCTACACCACAGCCTGGAGCCTTCCTCAGCAGCCCCACAGCCCATCAGGGTCTGACCCTCCCCAGCCTCACTCACTCACAGTCCTCTTGTCTCCCCAGGTTCCCTGCACCGGACCCCGTCGGCCCCTCTGGCCAGCCAGGCAACTGCCCGCTGACACTGGTCCCTCTGTGGACAGCTTGTCCCTCCACGCCCTCTGTCTTTCAAGGGGCAAAGGTCCTCTCATGTTTCCAGTCTCAGCCAAAAGGTCACTTTCTCAGGAGTGCTCCATGGGACCCCCATCAGCTAAGACCCCCTGACATGCTCCAGACGCACCAGATACTTTCCCTTCCTGGCCCTCCTCTTGATTATAATTGACCCCTCAGTGCCATGACTTTCTAGTGCTGCTGGCCCTGATACAGGGTAAACCCCACAAGTCCAGGGCCCATATCTGTCCTGTTCTCTGTGGAGTTCCCAGGATCCAGCCCAGAGCCTGACACGTCACAGATGCCCAGTAAATACTCGTTGAGGGCATGAGGGAAAGCAAACAATGTCCCCCCATGTGAACCTGGGGTCAGAGCCTCTTCCCTACAGACTGAGGCCACTGGCATCAGCATGGGAGGAGGCCAGCACGTGCCCAAAGCTGCCCCTGTAAGCTGTCGAGCCTTTACCCCTCCTAGATTCAGGAGGGAGGACAGGGGCCGACTACAGTTAGAGGTCGGACCCCCATTCATTCCCACAACACAGACACCCCCTCCCATCTGGATCTTGTGAATAACTTCTCCCTTGGAAGGCCTGGCTGGGCAGCCCGTGTCCTTCCTCTTCTCTGAGAGATCTGACCTCGCACAAATTCTGGATCACAAACCCTAGGTTTGGTTACTACTAGGGGAGTTCAGAGCCCCACCCTGACCTCCAAAGACATCAGAAGCCGACTCCTCATCTGGAGGGCCCCTGGTCAATGGGGACACCTGCTATGTCTCCCTGAAGATGTCTCAGTAGCCCAAGGTGTCCTGGGGAATGAGGGGGAACTTCCCAGGCAGATGAGACAGGAGAACCCAGCATCTGCTTGTGTTTCCCCTGGGACTGAGTCTCTGGGTAGGGCTGCCCCCAGCTCCTGGTTCCCGTGGGGAGACCTAGAACAGAGGAGACAGATGGACAAGGATGGCTCCCCTCCCTGTTATGATGGGGAGATAGGACACTGTGGGGTCCAGCCCCTCAGGCCAGTGCCTTTTCCCCAAAGGCTCAAGAGACCCGTAGGACGTCAATCTTGAAATCTCGAGGAAAGAAAGCTCATGCTGAGGGGGGCAAATCCCTCTGGGTGGACAATCCTCCTCACACAAGACCAGGAATCTTCTAGACTGTGCTTGTCTTCTCCCTGGGCTCATGATGCCCTGGGATGGAGTCAGGCAGTCTAGGATCCACAGGGACCAGGACCCAGTCCCTCACCTCTGCCCAGGGCTCAGGGATCCTCACCCTTTGGAGCCTGGTCACCATCCCGGATGCTGCCCCCAGACTCGCCTCCAGGGGGCGACATGGGGACATGCAGGCAACACACAGGACCTTAAACCCTGAAGCTGGTTTTGGCGGAGGAGGGGGAGGAGGAGCCTGGTTTCCATCCCTTTCTCCCACAGACCCTTCTGGGTCCCTCCCACATGCCTGTTCTGTCCTGCCCACTCCTTCTAGGCCCTAGAATCGCCCTGATCTGTCAGGGGTCCCTGTGCAGCTCCCCATGCCCTGCCTGGCACCACCCATGGGGGAAGCAGGGTGACCACAGGAAGGTCCCCCAGACAGAGGACACAGACTGCCCAGGATGCTCAGGAGCACACGCACTGTCTCTGGGCCACAGTTCAGCCAATGGATTGAAGAGGGAGGGTCTCCTCAAAACATTTCCAGGAGCGCAGCTGCCTGACCTCCCACCATCTCTTCTCTTCCCAGGACACACTGGAAACCCCTTTCGCACCTGGGAATGGAGCTCCTGAGACACCTGGTCCTGGGTCTGTGTCCCTGGAAGCAGAAACTGGGCTGGGAACACCCAAGGATGGACCATGGGTCCCACCTGTCATCATCCAGCGTGCCCCTTTCTCACTCCCAGAGTCATCTCTGGGACCTTGCTGCCAGGAGTCGGTCCAACCTCCCCAAGCCTGTGAGAGCACTGGGGAGACTGGTGCCCAGCTGGCCTTCTCTGTTACAAACAGAAATCACCCCCGGGATCTGGGGACCCTGGGGCTCTGCCTGTGGTGCCCACAGACTCAAGGCCAGGACACAGCAGGGGAGTGGGGAGAAGGGCCATCCTCTAAGGGAACCAGGTCCCCTCAGTCTTGCTATTCAGAGTGAGCTCCCCGGGCCAGGACAGTCAGCATCACCTGGGAGCTTAGTAGAGGCAGACTCTGGGGTCCACTCCACACCTGCTGAGTCAGACTCTGCATTTTCACAGTATCTGCAGACACTCCGTGGGCACAGGAGGGGCAGAGGTGGCCCCACCCCCACATCATGGGGTCTCAGCCTGGCTGGGCATCTGCTGAAGCAGCATTTCTAGGTGTCCCCTGGGCATTTAGTCTTGATACAGTTCCACAGGTGATTCCAGCGCACAGTGGGGGTGACATCCCGGTGACAGGAGTTCCTGAGGCAGCCCCCAGGCTCCTGCTCCAAAGGGGAAAGCCACAAGGGGAGGAGAGAGGGCTGTTAGGGTGCTGACCCTGTACCTTAACCCCAAGCTGTGTGGGTTTCTGGACCCCAAAGCCACAAGCTTGTGCTTGTCCCAACAAGGGCATGTGCGTGCTCTCCCATATGCTGGGAAATCACAGCTGAAGAGGGAGAGGCCTCAGCCCTTGTCAGGGAATCGAAATGTAGACAGAAGTGAAAGGGGAAGAGGGGGACAAAGAAGTGGGGAAGGAGGTAAGGGGTGGAGGAGGGAGGGGAGGGGAAAGGAGGGGCCCTGGCAGATACCCCGCCCCACACTCCTGCCTCAGAGGCCACTTAAGACAGAGCCAACATTGGGACAACGGCTCTTCCTGAGCATTTCTGGAGCAGAAGCTCTTCTCACAGAGGGAGGGACAGAGCGGGCAGCAGGCACCATGGAGCCCCCTTCAGGCCCTCCACGAGGAGGACAGGTCCCCTGGCAGGACCTCCTGCTGGCAGGTGAAAGGGACAGTTCCCTGGGAGGAAGCGGCAGGGTGGGAGAGAAAGGCTGGCTGGGGTCTCCAGGGAGGACAGGGCTCTGAGAGGGGACAAGGGAGCAGGGCAGGACTGGGGGAGCCGCTCAGCGACAGGACTGTCTCAGGATCTGGAAGTGGTGAGCCAAGGGCTGTTTCCCAAGTTACTGATCATTGGGCACTGAATTTGGAAAACTGATGATAACAACAACCAGGGACCCTAATTGCTGTCCCTTCCCACCAACCTGAGATCTTGACAAGAGCCAGACTCGGAGGGCCCTGGGGACACATTCATTCAGTCCCGGTATTTGCCGCCTGCCCCACCACTGGGGTACAGCACAGATCAGACGAGTCTGTGCCCTCCCCGTGCTCACTTCTGTGGGGACGAAGACAGACACCCAGAGACGTCTAGAATGTGAGGTCAGGTAATGACAACATCATGAAGGGAACAGAACAGGGAAGGTCAGGATGTGGAGACAGAGGGTCTTCAGAGGAGGTGGTCAGGGCAGGCCTCTCCCGAGGACCCCCTGAGTGTGAGCAGGTATCTGAGGGCAGTGAGGGAGTGAGTGACAGACATGGGAGGAAGTTGTTCCAAACAGAGGGAGTAAGTTTGGAGGTGAAGCAGTGCGGTCATGCCGCTGACCTTGACCAGCAGAGACACCCACAGACACACAGATACCGGTGCACACTCACACACACACACCCAAGGCAGGGGGATGTGGACCTGCTCCGTCTGCAGGGCCCCAGCTTTCCCTCCGACACCTAGGTCCAGACCCTGATCTGTCTGCTCCCTTCCCTCCTAGTCTTGCTCTTAACCCTCTGGAACCCGCCCACCACTGCCCAAGTCACTGTGGAGTCCGTGCCGCCCAGTGCTGCCGAAGGGAAGGACGTCCGTCTGCGAGTCCACAATCTGCCTAGGGATACTGGACGCTTCAACTGGTTCAAAGGGGCCACAGCAGAGGAGAACCGTCGTATTGTATCATATATAGTAGATGCACAAAAAACTATTCCAGGACTTGCACACAGCGGCAGAGAGACAGTGTACCCCAATGGATCCCTGCTGTTCCGGAACATCACCCTGAATGACACAGGAGTCTACACCCTACAATTCATAAATAGAACTTATGACACGGAACAAGTAACTGGACAGCTCCATGTATTCCGTGAGTAATTCCCTCTCACCTCTGGTGCTGGGTGGGGTGAATTCTACTTTACACAGGATGACAGGCCGGGAGTGGGCCTCCTTCCCCCTCTGCATTATGTCCCATGTTGGGGGGAGGGTTCCAGCATTTAGTGCAGGACACACAGTGGAGACTAACTTCCTAAGATTGGAATTCCTTTCCTGGAATCCAGACTCTGGGATCATCTGAGAAAGACTCTGCAGGGTCAGTCAGGGCCAAGCTTGGGGGTCCTCGATATCCTCACCAGAGCTCAGCACAGACCACTGTCTCAGGGCTCCTGACTCTAGTGACCCTGGGGCATCTGTGCCAAGATGGGGTTGGGGCCCCTGGGCAGAGCTGACTGGGAACAACCATTTCTGGCTGCCTGAGCTGGTCACCACCAGGATCCAGTCTCAAGAGTCACATCAGGGGAAGGGCCAAGCCTGGTCCTTCACCTGAGGCTCAACATGGACAGCACAGACCTAAAAAGCCCCAGTCTATTAGCCAACTGCTCTGGGGAACTTGGGGGACAGCAGAGGAAGGGCGGCACCTCCAGGGAGGAACAGAGCAGAGAGAGGCTCCAGGCCACCCCTCCTCCACCAAGAATCAAGCCCAGGGAACCTTCTCTTGTGGAGCAATGTAGTAACAGCTGCCGTTTGATTGGCCAGACGCTATAGCCCAAATTCGGGTCAGGTATTTGGGGTTGTTTAAATGTTTTGTTTTATTTATTTATTTATTTATTTATTTATTTGACGGACAGAGATCACAAGTAGGCAGAGAGGAAGGCAGAGAGAGAGGAGGAAGGAGGCTCCCCGCTGAGCAGAGAGCCTGATGCAGGGCTGGATCCCAGGACCTGGAGATCACTACCCGAGCCGAAGGCAGAGGCTCAACCCACTGAGCCACCCAGGCGCCCCTATTTGGGGTCATTTAAAAGATAATTCACAAGCCTAGCAAGTACAGGTCATTTATCATTATTCCTCGTGCATTAAGGGGAAACTGAGGCACAGTCACTGAATTAGGGTCACACAGACTGAGCAGCGGCAGATGGGAGTGACCCAGGTTCTGTGTGCAGACACAGCCCCGTCCTCTCCTCCATCAGAGGGAGGGATGCTGGTGTGGGCAGTGAGAGCAAACAGAGACTCCCTTCATGTTTGCTCTGGAACCCAACACCCTTTGTCAGAACGAGCTAGCCGCCCCTCAGATGCCCGAGCCTCACCTCCCTGTTCTAGACTTGAGATCTGATTGTTTCCTGCTGTGTTCCTGTCCCTCCCATTGGGGTGTCAGGGAAAGGACTGGCCTTCTGCTCCCCATCCTGCCCCTGAAACCAGCCCAGGGTCCACATGTAGGAAACTCAGTTGCTTTTGTTGGGGAAGGAAGGAGGGAAGGGTGTGGGAGTTTCTCCCACTGGAGAGCAGGGAGCCCCTTGGCCAGACCTCCTAGGATCCTGCACCCCGGACGCCTCTCTGAAGAGATGATGGGTCGTTCATTCCCTCAGCACCCCTGCCTCCTGCTGATCCCTTCACTCTCTGCCTGGTCATTGGTCTCGGCTCTTGCTCATGACACCGAGGTTGCTGGCCACACAAGCTAAAGATTCCTGGTGCTGATGCTACCGTGATGTCTGGACGAGGCAGACACATGACTCAGGGCCAGAGGGAAACTGAGTGTCAGAGGGCGAGAGACAGCCCTCTCCTTACAGATCATCACCTGAACACAGACACTCATCCTTCTGCAGAAGCAGGGCCATCCTCTGGGGCACCTTCACAGAGCTCGCTGGTGCCCTCAGACTGGCTGGCACCTCAGAAGAAGGAACTTAGCCCCAGGCCCGAGGCCCATTCTCATCAGTCACCTCCTGTGTTTCCCCGCAGAACCCTTGGCCCAGCCCACTCTCCGTGCCAGCAACACCACAGTCACAGAAGACAAGAACTCTGTGGTCCTGACCTGCTCCACAACTAACACTGTGGTCTCTATCGGGTGGCTCTTCAATGGCCAGAGTCTAAAGCTCACGGAGAGGATGACACTGTCCCAGGACAACAGCACCCTCACCATACGCCCTGTCAGGAAGGAGGATGCCGGGAATTACCAGTGTGAGGTCTCCAACCCAGGCGATTCCAGGAAAAGTGACCCTGTGAGGCTGGCTGTGAGCTGTGAGTGACCCTCAAACTCTCCCCCTTCCTCCCTAATATTTCATGGCAGGCGGCGTGAAATGGTTGCAGGCCTGCAGGAGGTGGGAGCCTTCTTCAGAGCCTCTAGGGCAATATGGATAAAATTCCCCAGAATTAGATGAATCTTGTTAGCATCTTGGTTCTGATTTGTACCAGTTGTTGAAACTCGGGCAAGACGTTCAACCTCCTGAACCTCATTTTCCTCTTCTCTAAAACTGGAAAGATCAGCTGGATCCCAGGGAAGTTGTGAGAGTAGTTAGTATGAGTTCATGAGATGAAATCCTGAGACAGCGTCACACTCGGATTTGGGGCTCAGTCAAATTTAGCAACTATTGTCCTTTGGTTATTAACATTTTTGTTGCCAGCTGTACTGTCTCGGGGAATTGGGATGAGTGTTGTCTGACCACGTTCCAGCTCTCTGACCTTCACTGATTTACTGGTTACAGTACTCGCTTTAAACACTCACTTGTTCATTAGTGAAGCCCTTTACACACTGAGTTGCTCATTGTGCACAGTGGGTGTGACTCCTGGCCCCTCATGGGCAGGGAAGCAGCAGATGAGTCAACATAAATATTTCCCACGTGCCTGGCACAGAGCAGACCTCGAAAGCAGTCAGCTGATATTATTCTCCTTAATCAGTGTTGAGTGGACAGGTAAGGGCCTCCCTCTAAGACCATCAATGATGACAGAAGACATAGGGAAGAGGCATAACATGAGATGAAAATGAACGCCCTGGGGTGGGGGGAAAATGTGGTGATTAGACAAAGTCCAAGGTTGCACTGTGAGGAACAGAAATGATGCAGTGGCCAAGGGGGTGGGGGCACTGTGGTGACAAACACTCACGCATACACACACACACACCAGCCAGACCTCAATGCCCTTTCTTCCTCCCTAACTAGGCCCTTCCCCCACGGCCCCTCCTGGTTTCCCCAGAGTTGACTTGGGACTCATTCCCCTCTGTTTCTTCTTCAGATGAAGGAAGCACCACAGGCTTCCCTGTGGGGCCCATCGTTGGTTTTGTAGCCGGGGTCCTTGTCGGACTGGCACTGGCAGCTACCCTAGGCTGTCTCCTGCTCCGCACAAGGACTGGAAGGTACGATGACATTTCCCACACACTGATCGTGTCCCACAGCTCCCCCCAGCCAGGAGGGAGACCTGTCCTGACCTAGGATCCTGGACGGGCTCTTCCAGGCTCCCAACGGCCCCCTGGATTTTTCTTCCCATTCCATCCGGCTCCTTCCTCGCCAGCTGCTGACCAGGGTGCTTCCTTACAGCTTCCTTGGGTATAAATTAGGGACAATTAGGGAACAGTCCCTCAGGGTTGTCCGGGTCATTTGGCAAATCTGTAGCAGTGCTGACAGGACTAAGTGCTCAGCAAAGGGCACCTCCTGTGGTTTATTTCAGTCCTCACGCTCTGTGAGGGGGATTTGCAGCCTCAGGATCTGAGGGTGGTCCTGGGCAGGGTCACACAAAGGAGAGGGCAAGAGCCTGACAGGCCAGGTGTGTCACCCCCAAATGGCAGATGCGGGAACCACAGCCCCTGATGACCAGAGAATCTGAGCTCACCCAGGGCTAGTCCTGGGATGTCCTTTATGCTGCTTGTCCAGGAAGATGGAGATAGTGGACGGGCCTGGGGGTCAAGAGTGTGGCCACAGCAGGGACACCACATTCAGCACATCCACCACATGCTGGGGATCCAGCATACCCAGGGCTCCCCAAGTGTCCTGAACGAAGAGCTGCAGCCTTGACCGTACCACTCAGTCAGGCCTTCATCTTTGATTCCTTTCCTGGGTTCTCCGTTCCTTTTCAGGACACTTTCTCCTAGTCACCCATCAGGCTGCAGGTCTTCCCTTCTGGGCTTCAGAGGCATTTCCTCATCCCCTTTCCTGGGCCGTTTCTCTGCTAAACAGCACTGGTGAAGAGAGGGGTTCTCTAACCCCTGCCTGGAATCAGGATACTGCTTGTCCCCTGCTCTGACACCAAAGCTGTGACCTCACCCTGCAGCCCTCACACTTAAGCCTGATCTTTCCTAGGGCTAGTGGCTGGTGTGATCTCAGAGAGCTCTGCTGCCCAGCATCCACCCCCCGTGAGTATCTCATCAGCCTGGGTGTTCTGGGCACCCTAAGATCCTGCCCCAGTGTCCTCTCCTGCTACTCAGCCGCCAGGAGCCTCTGACCCTTTCTCTGGGGTTTTAACCCAGGGGACCTCAACTGGCTATATTCCCTGACCTGTGGAATCTAGGTCATAGGTCAACACCTTACCCACACTGGGCCCTAAAATGGCCAGTGGGTCTTTCCCTGGGAGGTGCTCCTGCTTCCCCATTGTCTGAGAGCTGTGGACCTGTCGCCTCCTGGGAGGGTGAGCCCAAGCTTCTTCACAGCCCTGGTGCTAACTCCTGTGTCTGTTCCCAGGACAGGTTCCAGCCAGAGGCAACAAATCGCAGGTTTGTTGTTCTGCCCCCTCCACCTCTCTTTCCAGTGGGGTCCAGGCTGTGCAGGGTCAAGGCAGGGCATCCAACCAATTCGGCAACAAGGAGCAGACCCTGCTTCTCCCAGATTAACCAGTACAAGGCAAACCCTGTTCCAGCCAGGCAAGACCCTCTTCAGGGACAGGACCATCCCCCTACCATGTCCTGAGCTGTCCCTGCTCCCTTGAGCTGGCCAATGGGAACAGTGGAGTCCAGCCAGGGGCAGGGTGGGCACTGGGGGCATCAGCCAGGGGTCCTGGGCTAACAGGAATGGGGCAGAGGGGGCAATCAGCAGTGGTCTGGGACTGGGGTGTGGGCCAGCCGGCTTGGAGAATGCTGCTCAAGAGACAGAACTGGTCACTCCCATAGGGAAATGACCCTCCCTCTCTGTCTACCAACACCCATTCTCTCCTGTTTAGGACTCCCTGCCCGGCCCCACAACAGCCATTCCTGTCTACCAGGTGAGTGTGGGCACTGAATGTTCTGGTCCTCGAAGCCCAAGGGGGCTGAAGATCTGCCCCCAGCCTGCCCCTGGTTGTGCTTTCAGGTTCAGGAAACAGCAGAGCAGAGAGGAACAGGGAATAGTGGGAAGAAAAAATGGTTTGGTGTAGACACCTGCAACACAGCTAGGCTCCCAGAGAGCAGCCCAGGTTGACCTAGAAGCTGAAAGTCACCCAGATGTGTTCTGTGAAGGTGACAGGGGCTCAGAGGCCTCTTCTTCTTTTACAGGAATTACGACACCCAGACACAAACACATACTGCCAGATCAACCACAAAGCAGAAATGGCTTCTTAGTTTCCCTAGGGCCTGGGGGCCGCTGAGACCCAGGACTCTAGGTGGGGTCAGGAGCCACAGCCTGTGCCAGAGAACCAGCTCTAGGCCCTGAGGATATTCAGGAACATCAAGGGTTGGGTCCTTCTTGATTTCTGGAGACTCCTACAGGCTTCCCTGAACCCAGGAAAAAGGCCCCCATCTCCCAGGAAGTGGGGGTTCTCAGGGAAAGTGTCCTGACTGCTGACCCACTGAGGATGATCTGAGAAGATCTGGATGAAGAGGACTCATCCCCTCCTTGGTCCTTTTTTTGTGAATGGTAATTTCTCTTAAAGAAATTCACCCGGGGCACCTGGCTGGCTCGTCAGTAGAACATGCAACTCTTTTTTTTTTTTTTTAAGATTTTATTTATTTACTTGAGAGACAGAGACAGAGAGAGAGAGAAAGAGAGAGAGAGAGAGAGAGAGTGAGCTGGGAAGAGGGCAAAGGGAAAGGGAGAAACAGGCCTCCCACGGAGCAAGGAGCTGGACCCAGGGATCATGTCCTAAGCTGTAGGCAGATGCTTAATTGACTGAGCCCCGCAGGTGCCCTGAGCATGCAACTCTTTATCTTGGGGTCATGAATTTGAGCACCATATGTGGTATAGAGTTTACATTGAAAAAATAAATAAAGTGTAAAAAACAAAAAAGGGAAAAGAAATTCACCTGAAACTCTGGGTTTCTTCTCTCTTGGGTCACATAGGGAAACATTACCTCTGACTTGACCAAGCCTTCATCTCTGGTCCTCCAGGATAGAAGAAGGGGTGAGGGGTGTGGACTGTTGGGACCATGCTAACTAGAGCCAGGGCTGTGGCCAAATCATTAGAGCACTCAGCAGTCCTCACACCACTCAGGGACCAAAGCAATAGATACTCCCCATGTTTATAAATGTGGTTTGGGTGTCAGGAGCAGAGAACATGGGACCTCTGATGACTGTACGAGATGAGCTAGGAAGGAGCAGCCATGGCAGGCACACATCCTGGTGTGGGACCCCTTCGCTATCTTTTGGTGTCCTGAGTTCTCCTCCACCAGCCCTGAGTAGTGGTCTTCACCAATAAACTTGCCTGTCCCCAAATCCAGGATCCAGGGCGCTGACACCTGTCCAAAGGTTTCTCCTCTATGTCCAAGGCCAGCTTTCAGGATGTCCTTACCCCCAGGGTGACTTAGAGACCGGCTGTCAAAGTAACCCCAGTGGGGAAGATCCAGAATTCCTGCCCTGAGCATGGCCCTCCCAGGCATGACATCTAGCCCAGCACTTCCCATCAGTGTCCACTTTTCTCCCTGAACTGGACCTGATTGAAACATACCTACTCCCCACAAATAAGCATCCAGGTCAGAGGCAGGGGGCTTTCCTCTCCTGTCACCCAGGTTCCCATGGTGATGGGACAAAATGTCTCTTCCACCTGGTCCATGGGCATCCTCCCACCTGTTCCTCCCCTATAGCTCCTCCACACACCAGGCCCAACAGGTCATGGTCCTTCCCTGAGGCCCCATGTTGGGTTCTTCCCATGTGGCTTCATTTGCATCACGGCACCCACATTCATACAAACAAAAGTGGTCTGAGCACCACTGCACCCACATTCACAAGTGTATCTGCCATTGCCGGAGTTGTTGTCAGTCACGAAACTAGAGGTATGAAGAACAACCTGCAAAGTATCACATCATTATTCAGCTCTAAGACCCTCCTCATCCCAAACACACACTTCGTGGGATTAGACAAGGTGACTCTGCTTGTTAGTTTCCTTTTGCTGCTGTGTCAAATTGTTGCAAGCTTCGTGGTGTAAAGCAGCAAGAATCAAGGTGCGACCTCGATATGTCTTCTGGAGGCTCCAGGAGAGTGTGTTTCCTTGCTTTTCCAAGCCTTTGGTGGCTACCTGCTTCCCATGGCTGTGGCCCCTTCCTCCACCTCCAAAGCCAGCAGAGCAACATGAAGTCTCTCTGTGTCCTGTTTCCATCCATCACATCTTCTCTGGCTCTGCCTCCTCTGCCCTCCTCTGTCACTTATAAGAAAGAACACTTGTGATTATTTTGGCCAACCCAGTTATACCACTGTAATCTTGCATCCCATGATTCTTAACTGTAAGTCCCTTTATCATTGACAGATTCACAGATTCTGGGCCTAAGGATAGAAACATCTCTGAGGGGCCCTTGTTCCACAGCCCTCAAGGCCTTGTTCATCACCTTCCTTCACTACCAACTGCTGGGGGCAGCCTGGACTTGGTCATCTAACTGTGGAGCCACTTCCTGCAGTAATGTCTACAACACTCTCACTGCCCTGAGCGATGGAGACAGAGGCCAGTGCACACTCCCTGCCACCCTCTCCATCTCTTGTTAGTAATGTTCCTTGTTAAGAATGGAAAGAATGTCAGGGCGCCTGGGTGGCTCAGTGGGTTAAAGCCTCTGCCTTCAGCTCAGGTCATGGTCCCAGGGTCCTGGGATTGAGCCCCGCATCGGGCTCTCTGCTCAGCAGGGAGCCTGCTTCCTTCTCTTTCTCTCTGCCTGACTCTCTGCCTAGTTGTGGTCTCTGTCTGTCAAGTAAATAAATAAAATCTTTAAAAAAAAAAATGGAAAGAATGTGGACAGAACTAGATTAAGGCTCCCAATCCCTGGGAATAGCTGGGTTTCATCAGCACCATGGACAGTGTCCCAGCCAAACTCCTCCCAGGAGTTGCTCTGGGAGGAGACAATGAGGGACTGCGGGAGAGGCTGCCCATTTGTATTCTACAGAAGGATGCAATGAGGCCGAATGCTATTACACAGACTATCCGATTCTGCTCTGTCTATCGTAAACCCTTCGCACATGTCCAGCTGTTACTTGTTGGCACATCCATTTCAGCTCCCTGCTTGGCTGATTGCTGCCCCCAGAGGGTGGCCTCTGGGAGGCTGGGAGTCAGCTCCAGCCTCCTGGGAGAACCTCCTAGCCCCTGAGGGCCAGGCCCCTCTTTTGTCTACAATAAGGAAGGAATGTTTCATTGGCGTCTTCGGACCCTTGGTGCATGACCTTGGAAACACACCCATCAGCCAGTCTGGAGCATCCCTGAGCACAAGGTCCTGTTTCCCAAGCCCCAGCTGAGCCCCCCAGGCAACAAGGCTGAGCAGAACCCTGGGCTATTCTCCCAGCTGCTCCTGGCTGAGCCCTGTGTCTGATTTCAGGGTCCTTTGCCATCTGCTTGCCCTTCCCAGCAGAGAAAACATTCCACCCAAGGGACAAAAGGGGCCTGAAGATCTCCCAGGGTGGAATCCAACATCTGAGAGTTTCTGCATCTCCCTGCAACCCCCTCAGAGGAAGAGAAAATGCTAGGGCTCTCACGGCCACCCCCATCTTCCACATCCCACCCACAGAACCAACTCTAATGCTACAGACTCAGCCCTGCTCTTCCATGGGGCTCAGGTCCATTATGTCCACTCACAGTGGCCAACATGAGGGTCACCTGGGTGCTCTTATCTTTACTATTTCTTTCCTTCTGCTTTTAGTTGGGTTCGCTTTGCTCTTATTATTTTCTTGCTCTTACTAGTTCTTGTGGTAGGAACTCTGGTTGTTGATTTGAGATATTTCCTCTCTTATAAGCATTTCATGCTACAAATTCCTCTCTCAGCACAGAATAAGTTGCATCCTACAAGTGGTGGAGATTTTTTAGTGTATTTAATATAATTCTGTGTATTTTTAAAATATCCTTTGAGACTTCCTTGTTGACCCATAGATTACTTACACATATGTAGCTTGCTTTACAATTGTTAAAAATTTTTCTGTTGTCTTTCTATGGCTGATTTCTTGTTTGATTCCTATTTTCAGAGAACTGACTCCGCTTTCAATTATTTTAAGTTTGGTTATGGGCACCTGTCTGGCTTGGGGGTGGAGCCTGTGACTCTTGATCTCAGGGCCATGAGTTCTAGCCCCATGCTGGGGGTAGAGTTGACTTCAAAACAAAGTAAATTGGTTAGATTTTAGATACGACACCAAACATAAGCCGCAGAGAAGGATGAATTAATTGGACATCTTTTCCCTTGGTTATTCTTTAATAGTAGGTCAGCTGGCAACTAATTCTCATAGTTTTCCTTCGTCACAATATTTCCTTAGTTCCCCTCTCCTCCTGAAGATCATTTTGCCAGATCAGGATTTGTAGTCAGCTTGAAAACCCTGCCACTTCCTTCTGGCTTCCATGCTGTCAGGCACGAAACCTACCATCACTTCAATCAGTGTCCCTTCATATGCAATGGGTTGTTTCTCTGGCTGTTTTTCAAGGTTTCTTTTTTCTTTCTTGTCTTTAGTTTCCAGAAGTTTGCATGTGTCTCACTGTGATTGCTTATCGTGCTCGGGGTTCCCTCAGCTTCTTGGACCATTATTTCTTCAGGTACCTTTTTCAGTGCATACTTTTTTCCTACTTCTGGTATCCAGTGGTGTCAATGTTAGAGTCTTCCTTTTTTTTTTTTTTAAGATTTATTTATTTATTTGAGAAAGAGAGGGAGAGAGAGCTCACTTGCAATTGGGGAGAGGGGCAGAGGGAGAGGGAGGGGTGGAATCCTCAAGCTGACTCCTTGTTGAGCACCAAGAGACCACAAGTCAAGGAGTATGGGCTGACTCCCAAAACTGGAGAAGGCAAGAAAATTGATCCAACCCCAGAACCTCCAGAAAGGAATGTGGTCCCGCCAATAACTTTATTATAGCCCAGTAAAGCCCATGGTGGACTTCTGACCTCCGGAACTGTAAGAGAATAAGTATTTGTTGCTTAAAGCCACCGTCTTCGTGGTAATTTGTTACAGCAGTAACAGGAAGCTAATAGAGACTGCATATTGGATAATATTGCTGTGTGAAGATCAAATGGGGGGAGCCTGGTAATCGTAGGGTGGATATATAGGAGAAAATCCTTGTTCTGGTGAGATACAGGTGGAAGTAGTGAGGGTGAAGTAGTATGATACCTATAACTTTCAATTGGTTTATTAAAAAATCATACGTAGGGCGCCTCGGTGGTTCAGTCATTTAAGCATTTGCCTTCAGCCCAGGTCATGATCCCAGGATCCTGGGTTCGAGTCCTGCATCAGGCTCTTTGCTCAACAGGGAGTCTGCTTCTCCCTCTGCCTTTGTGCCTCCCCCCAATTCATGTGCTCTCTTTCTCTTAAATAAATAAAATCTTTTTAAAAATCATATATATATATATATACATATATATATATATATATATATATAATGAAAATGATTTGTGTGCATACACATGCATACATTTAGCTCTATACAGATAGAATACAAAAGGGCATGGTAAATAGGCATGAGAGGTATCTGGGAATCCCCTCTCATAGTCTTGCAAGTTTTCTCTAAGTTTGATTTTTTTAACTGGGGGGTGGGGCCTTACATTTTTGAAGTACACACAAAAGTGTTTACAAACAATACTATATGATTTGTAACATATAATCCAGTGGGTGGAGGAGTAGAAGGGAGGTAGACACAACAAGGTTCATCATGAGTTGATACTTTGGAGCTGGAGATGGGTGCCTGGAGTTTCCTGATACCATTCTCACTAGTATAGTGAGCTACAGTCCACTTGTATATGTTTGTATACAAACTCTCTTTGTATTTCTTTGAAATTTTCCATATGAAAAGATTTTAAGGAAAGAGAGAAAAAAATTCCAATTGAGAAGTTTTATCAGAGTTCCATAAAACTTTCAATTCAGATCATCTCAAAATCATAGAAATTCATCCATGGAATAGAGAGGGAATATCCCCCTAACTTATTCCAAGGCTAGTAGAACCTTTAAACTGAAATGGGAACAACAACAGAAGTACAGAAAAAGGAAAATACCAGGCCAATCATACTCATAAATAAAGATGCAAAATTGCTAAACAAGATACTCTCAAACCAAATCCAATAGTATATAGAATAAAAACAGTACACCATGACTAACTTACGTTTGTCCCAGGAAAGCAAAGGTCATTGAACATTAGAAACTTATAAATGGGGGGCACCTGGGTGCCTCAGTCAGGTAAGTGTCTGACTCTTGATTGTGGCTCAGGTCATGATCCCAGGGTCCTGGGATCGAGCCCCACATCCGGCTCTCCTTCTCCCTCCACTCCCCCTGTTTGTGTAATCTCTCTCACTCTCATATAAATAAAAAAATCTTTTAAAAAATTATAAATGGGGGGCACCTGGGTGGCTGTTAGCTAAGTGGCGGGCTCTTAATTTCGGTTGGGATCATGATCTCAGGATCCCGGGATTGAGCCCTGCATTAGGCTCCCCTCTCAGCAGGGAGTCTGTCTCTCTCTCCCTCTGCCCCTCTCCACATCCTGCTTCCTCTCTCTCCCTCTCTCTAACAAATAAAATCTTTTAAAAATTAAAAATAAAAACCACCCAGATGATACCCAATTCTAATTCATAAGTCCTTTCATTTTTTTTTAAGATTTTATTTATTTGACAGAAAGTGAGTGAGCACAAGTAGGGGGAGCAGCAGGCAGAGGGAAAGGGAAAGACCCAATACAGGGCTCGATCCCAGGACCCTGGGATTATGACTTGAGCCGAGGGCAGACACTTAACCGACTGAGCCACCCAGACGCCCCAAGCCTTTCATTTTAATGGGGAGGAAATTGAGGCCCAGAAAAGGGGAGAGATTTGGCCAGGATCTCTTGAGTCAGGGGATGAGTGGGCTAGAGCTCAGGTCAGCACAGGAAGGGGAAAAATGAAATATTTGGGGGAGGGGTGACTGGCTGGCTCTGTTGGAGGAACATGCGATTCTTGTTCTCAGGGTCATGAGTTCACACCCCACACTAGGTGTAGAGATTACTTAAAAAAAAAAAAAAACTTTAGGGGCGCCTGGGTGGCTCAGTGAGTTAAAGCCTCCGCCTTCGGCTCAGGTCATGATCCCAGGGTCCTGGGATTGAGCCCCACATGGGGCTCTCTGCTCAGCAGGGGAGCCTGCTTCCTCCTCTCTCTCTCTGCCTGCCTCTCTGCCTACTTGTGATCTCTGTCAGTCAAATAAATAAAAATTTTTTAAATCTTAAAAAAAAAAACTTTAAAATATTTTGGGGGTCCTCCTGGCTGCTGGGCATGACTGTCACTTTGCCAGTGACCCTCCTCCCCAACCCCTGCTCACTTCGCCATGCACACTGCCCACTGCCTGCCCCTCCCCCCCTTCCAGGGTCTGTTTGGCTCCCCTCACACCTTCCACGCCCCCACAAGCCTCACGGACCACAGGACAAGACAGAAAGGCAACTCTGTGACTTTACTGGGTAACGGGAAGGGGTTTGTGCAGTCCAGCTATATTGTCAGTCCCTGAAGGCCAGCAGAAGTCCTGAAAGGAGGCTCCAAGCAGGATTCCAACTGGAGGGCTCTGCGCCAGCAATCTGGGCCTTCTGTAAGATGTTGAGGACCTCGGTCACTCTGATGTTCCCAATATGGTGATAATTTTCTAAAAGTTTGTGGTGTCCACGAGCACAGCCCAAGAGGAGAAAGGTGGTATTGAGTAAGCCTGTAAGGCAGACAGAGACGAATCAGGGACAATTCCAAGATGCAAGGGCCCTGCCCCTGCTTCCAGACGCTCCTCCCAACCCAGGACACCGGGTCTCTCATCAGAAACTTGGGTAACAGCCACCTTAGTCCTTCCGCCTTGGAATTCATGTGCCTGGCTAGGGCAGCCCCAATCCCCTCTTGGAGCCCACCAGACTCTTGCAGAGTGGGAAGGCACTAAAGCAAGTTTCTCTTCTCACCTGCCTGAAATTTTAAGGTGGAACTGTAACACTGAGAGGCGTCGTAGGGGCAGGAATCAGTGGTGACAAAATTTGGGAGGCAATCCTTGGAGTGCTCGCCCACACAGGTCGGGCAACTATGGGGAGAAAATGCTGTAGACTTAGGAATTCTGGCCTTGAGTTTCACAAAAGGATCCAAGCTGGTGAGGTTATTGCAGAGATATGTCCTGCAGACGCGGCTGTAGGAGGCAATGGACAATCCAGGTGGCGAAACAAGGTAGGAGACTTGCTGGGGGTAAGATGAGGCTGGGCTGCAGCCCTTAAAACCCACAACTCCCCTTCTGGTCCCTGAGGAACAGATTAAAGAGCTCCGATCAGTGCTGTTGGCCAACCCAGAGCCAACCCTCCCACCCTGCACCCATCCACTCACCCTCCAGCTCGCTCTGCCCCATCACCAACTTTGCCATGAGGTCCACTCGTGGCAGCTGCACAGGGCTCGGATCCCGGGTCTGGGGTCTCTCTGTCTGTCTCTCCTCACCAACCCCTCCCCACAGGAATCCCCCTGTTCCTCTCTCCCCTGTGTCCCTTTCTTTTATTCTCTCCCAGATCGCCCCCCATCCACCTGGGATCACCTCCTTTCTGTCTTCCTATCCAGCCCACACCACACCCAGCCAGGTCCTGGCCTCTCCTGCCAGTGTCTTGACATTATTTCCAAAGATAAAATGGAGTAACTGTTTGGGCTCGAGTCCAGAGTCCTTGGGTGCTGGGAATGGAGCTGGGGGTCAGAAGAGCCACCAAAAAAAAAAAAAAAAAAAGTAATGTATCAAAGTCACTTTCCTTCGCCTGTCTCGATGAACACCAGCGTCTCCTCACAACCCTCACTCAGCTTACACACCATGCTCCTCATCAGAAGCCACTTCCAGTCATGAAGAGAAACAGCTCTGAAGAGTGAGGACGTTGCTTCGTAGCATAAAAGAGCCGCGGCCCCTAAAGGGAGAATGCCCTTCCAGTCACGGGCCCCTCACATTGCCTTCTCAGCACCCCCAGTTGCCAGCCAAGAACTTGGCCTCCACAGATCCTGAACCCCAAGGAACCCAGATACCCAGCCCTCCTTCCTCTAGTTATGTGAATCCAGCCTCCCACCCTCTGGGGTCCCAAAGCGTCCAGCCCCATAGGACATACGAGGCACGGTGGAGATGGCCCCTAGGAGGCAGAAGAGATGCACAGGGCTGAAGTGTTGGGGTCCCATGGTCCTGGGTTGGGGTCCTGGATGCTAGAGGTCAATCCAGAACCAAGATCAATCCAGGTATCAAGCTCTGTTCTCGTCAGTCTCTGAATTCTCTGTTCACCTGCCTCTGGGTCACTGTTTCTAGAGCAGAAAGTTGATTGTCAGGTTTTGTGACATAGGCTACCTGTGACCTTCAGGGACACAAGACTTCCTGTCTCCATAGTGTCCCCTCCAGCCTGCCCTGAACCCACCACATTAGCTTTTCATCATGACCCTCACACTCCTGCTTAGGTCCTCCCATTGGACATGGTGCTGAGCAGAGCTGACTTCCTCAAAGGATCAGTGTCACACAGGCTGTTCTCCAGCCAGAGACAACGAGATCAGAATAACAAGGGGGTGTGTAGGGAAGTTAACTGAAATATTACTAAATAACTCTTGGTTCAGAAAAGGAT